TCTTAGCTTCATTGTACATTTAACTAACTTCAATTCGCCTAATTCCACACTCATCACAGAATCGAACACGTGATATCCGACACGACAAGGACAGTAGCACAAAATTCGACATTGAATGTCCCGGATTCTTACTTATCTTCACGCACAATCCCTGACGGGGTAGCCAGAGAGAACAGATCGCCAAGTGTCACGATCCTTACATATCTCTTTCGCTTCTTTGAGATTCATTATCTTCTTTATACATGCACGTCTAGGTATCCAAGTACTCTTGACCCTACCCTCTTCGAGCAATTTGCTCACATGGTCTTCGAAAGTTAGTCTCGGTCTACCTCGACACCTTTTAATATTAACTTTCGCGCTATATATTTTCTTCACCATTCGGTCTTCACTCATTCGCTCAACGTGCCCAAACCACCGAAGCACGCCCTTATCAATTTTTGTAATAAGGTCATCTTTCAAACCTGCCATATTGCGAATCTCTTCGTTTCGCTTTCGGTCGGCCATAGTAACGCCGCACATTTTACGAAGAGATCGCATCTCCACTGCATTCAACTTACTTTTATGCTTCTTCTGGCATACCCAGGTTTTGCTGCCATATAACAAAGTCGGTACCAACACTGCGTTATGTATTGCAAGGCGTGCACTCTTCGCTACGCCTTGCCTTTTGACTAACGCAGTCAGGGCACCATTGACTTTGTTCCCGGCAGCGACACGCCTGTCCACATCTAAATCACATCTTCCATCCCGGCTAAAAGCACTCCCCAAGTATACAATTTCATTTACCTGTTCTAGACATTCCTGATTTACCCATATTTCACACTTCGTTCTCTCTTCGTCCCTTTCAAATACCAGAACCTTAGTTTTATTAGCATTCAAACGGAGACCTTTAATTTCACATTCCTCTTTCATACACGTGACTAATGCCTGCAGTTCTGCCTCTGATGGTGCAATAAGCACTGCATCATCAGCATACAGCAGACAATTTACTTTTATGTCACCCAATTTCACACCCAAACAGCTATCTTTCAGCTTTTGTAAACAGCTGTCGAGATACAGTATGAACAGCCAGGAAGACATGACACAACCCTGTTTTACGCCCGTTTGGACGCTAAACATGGGTGACAGGTCATGCCCTACCCGTACACAGGCTTTACAGTCACAGTAAAGAGACTGCACAGCCCTCAGCAATCGGCCATCCACACCATACCCCGGCAACAGTTCCCACATTTTCTTCCTTACAACCTTATCAAATGCTTTCTCAAGATCCACAAAAGCACAGAAAATCTTCTGGTTAACAGCCAGAAGCTTTTCCGTGATCATACGGAGAGAAAACATTTGATCCGTGCATCCTCTTCCAGGTCTAAATCCGCATTGTGCCTCCCATAGAAATCTTTCCGATTTCTCTTGCATCCTACGTGTCAAAACCTTCGAGTAAACTTTACTTGCTAAACTGGTCAAGCTGATCGCCCGATAGCACCCGCAGTCAAAATGTGAACCTTTACCCCGGATTCACTTATCACAAATTAAAAATTCGACACCAGAATACCACGTCGCGCCAGAGTCAAAATACGCCTCGTTGATACGCAAATTAATCTAACTAGGCAACCAAAACACAAAAGGCACTAACGCGACGACCCAATTATAACGATATCTTCATCTAGCTATCTAGATCCACGACGGGCCCGTGAATTTAGGTAAGAGGGCCTGACGGTTTCCCCGCCTCGTGCCTCGGGGCACCGACCCCTCGGCCACGCGTCGAGCAACTGACTGCCTACGCGTCGAGTGACTGACTCCCACGCAGCCGCGCACGATCGCCCCACCTCGGCGTTTATCTCACCTACATACCATCGGGTGAGGCGCCAGCTCGAACGCAATTTTGTGGCGTTCAAACATGACCAAATTTGGGCATAAACATTAGAATATATTTTAACATAAGATACGTTGTCAGCTCTTTTTGTGTTGGGGTTTTTTAAATTTTCAATTTAAGTAGCTGTAAATATATCGAATACACCAAAGTTTAACTAAGCAGTGTGTTATTTTAGTGATTGTTTATTAAATATCAAATATATTTTCAGCAGTGGACTTTTGATGGGCTGTATAATAAACAATTCAAGTCATATAACTTCTTTTACGTAGGTCACTCAATAAGTTTTGAGATGTACAAAAAGTATTCTAGATACAATTAATATATATTTTACATATTTTTAGAACTATTCTCCATCATGCTCTATACAAAGTTCCATTCGCCTAAACCAACTCTGAAAAAACTTTTGCTCGTCTTGATCTGACAGGTCGGAAATCGCTTCTTCGTAGGCAGCCACGGCTTCTTCGGCGCATGAAAAAAACTTGCCTTTTATTTTTTCTTTGACTCTTGGGAACAAAAAGAAATCACAAGGAGCTAAGTCAGGACTGTAGGGTGGGTGACTTAGAGTTTCAACACCAGATTCCTCAATAAATGCTTTAGTTCTAAGGGAGGTATGTGAAGAGGCGTTATCGTGCTGCAGCATGATTCCCCGAAGCCCGGTCTTTGGTCTTCTCTCCCGCACAGCTTGAAAAGTTTTGGGTAATACAACTGTAGTATACCATTCAAAGTTGACCTTCAAATTTCCAGTATTGACGTCGACAAATGTCCGCTCCGCGAAAAAAAAACAGCAGTTTTGTCGGTAACTGTCCTTCTGAGTAGAACCGTACCGATGTTTGCCTTTTATTTTCCGGGTCATATTGATAGATCCATGTCTCGTCACCAGTAAAGATTTTTGAAACACACCTAGATGCCCAGTTTTCAAAACGTAGACGCAATTCATGGCACCAATCCACACGAGTCTGTTTTTCACATTAGGAGAGCAAACGAGGGATCCATCGACACAAAGCTTCCTTACTCCAAGAAGTTGATGTAGGATGGTATGAATGCTCCCCGAACTAATGCCTGCAATCTTTTCGATGTCCGTTTATGTGATTCGTGGGTCTTCGCGAACCAACATTTCAGTAGTCCATACATTTTCTGCCGTTACTGCCGTTTGCGGGGCCCCGGTTCTTTGGTCATCTTTAAGATTAATTTTACCCCGTTTGAATTCAGCAAACCACCTAAAAATTGTTGCGCGTGATGGACCTAAGTCCCCTAATGCTGATTGTAACCGTTGTAAACTAAATTGTTCGGTTAAACAAAATTTAAAATCATAATATATCATAGTGCGCAAATTAATATTCACGGTTAAGATCCATCGTGTTAAATGAAAAGCGTGGGAAGCGTTGCATGAAAATTAATAGAACTTTGTTTTTTTTTATATTGAGTAATTGACTTATTTTTAAATAAATTTGCTTTTTCAAAACATATAACACGGGTGCGTTCCGTTTTTAAATTTTGAGCATCTCAAAACTTATTGAGTGATTTGATGAAGATTTGCTTCTACATTTTAAGCCGATAGGTAATTGTGATTAAACTTTTAGTTTAGACGGCTTAGCATAAAAAAAGATAATATTATTATCTTGCCTACGCTCATAACCAATTCTAAGATTAGCCGGATAATCTTTAGACTAACATTAACCATAAATATATTATACATTTTTGTGTTCCCAATATTGTTCTCCCGGCCAAATTTCAGTCACGGTAGCAAGTCTCTAAGGAGACTAGCCATCAACGCAGGATGGGACTATAGGTTAAAATTAAGTTACTCGGTACTCGGTTACCCGGTTAGTTGTACTCGGCCCACCACTTTTGAATATTTTTTAAATGATCTCTCTGTCTCACGCACTCACACACACACACACACACAAGTACTCCGATGGCACACGTGCTACCAAAGATAATACTTATTATTAAAATTTGCAAATTTTGTAATAAGTGTAGCACATTCCAAACTCCTAACCTTTTTAAGCTTGATGTGTGCAGAAAAGGCAGAAAAACTACTGGATTGAAAAGTGAACGTGTGTGTTTAAACTTCAAACTTTACACACTTAAACAAATAGCCGTGCCACACTTCCCGACTTTATAGGTAATGCTAAGTACAAACATGTCGTAGATACATCGAGTAAGCCGTAGTAGCCGTAGGCTTAGTATCCTCCATCTATGGTGGTAGGTCGGTGGAGTTAGCGCACTACCTACATAAAGTAATAAGAAGTATTAGCGTACCTATACTTATAAGTTAAGTCTAGCGCCGGCTTAATGGCATAGAGTTTTTGTTACAATTGGCCAATTAAGGCGGGCAAAGGTACTATACTACTCGTATACACTAGGTACTGTACTATACATCATGATCGAAATCGAAGAAGCATTTGGCGGATTTTGACGACAAATTAAGCCCGATTATAATCCAAGCCGCCCATATGGATAAAAAAAATGATAATTATATAACTATCGAAGCACCTGTAACACTATTTTCGAACAGTCCATATGTAAAGACATTAAAAACCCAAAATCGCCCCACTTTTACGTATCAAAATCCACTTTCACTACAGTTATTTAAAGGATAAAAGAGCAGACAAGTCTGCTTGTTGTCAAGTTCACAAAATTCCCAGTTCTAAAACCTATGGCATAATAAAGTACCTAGTATAATTTTATCAAAAAAAGAACTGAGTTTTGGCAGGAACTTGACCACCGGCGGATTGCTGCACCTGTATTAAATATCTGTGCATATGCACGTATTATTTTCGGCTGAAAGCTTTGTAGTGAATGTCACAATATAAATATTAAAAAATAAGTTTAGTTATAGTGTCATATAAATATCTAGTTTGTTTATTAGAAATCACCTGTCTGTCCACTACGTTTAGCTTCACTGTAGTCAATACACTTCACAATGTGACACATCAGCTGAATAATACCAACAACTTTTGTAAACTATGTACACATCTGACTAAGCTGTATGATCAAAGACATTTACCTGTCCTTAACTAGCGAATCGTAACAAATAACAAAAACAACACTATGGTACAAACTATGGTGGTGGATTAGAGATCGCATTTAAAATGTTTGATTAGTTAATTTTACTTATAGTTCCACAAACATGTCTTCAACGGAGCCTTCGCAAAACAAAACATGGGAGCTTTCCTTATACGAGCTCCATCGTACACCACAAGAAGTTATTACAGATGCCACGGAAATAGCGGTATCCCCGCGAAGCTTACACAGCGAACTAATGTGCCCAATTTGTTTAGACATGCTAAAGAAGACAATGACAACAAAAGAATGCCTTCACAGGTTCTGTTCAGACTGTATAATTACTGCTCTTCGATCTGGCAACAAAGAGTGTCCAACATGCCGCAAGAAGTTAGTTTCAAAGCGTTCTCTCAGACCAGATCCAAATTTTGATCTATTAATATCCAAAATTTATCCCAGTAGGGATGAATATGAAGCTCACCAAGAGCGTGTACTAGCTAAATTAAATATGTCACATTCCCAAGCATCGTTAGTGAATTCTATTACCGAAGGAATAAAGCTTCAATCGCAAAATCGACCACAACGATCGAGAAAAAATCATGAAGAAAACAGTAATCCATCAAATTCTAACGGTACTTCGGAGCAAGCTCAAAATGGAAGTAGTTCTTCAGCTCCTAAAGATGGTACACCACCAACTGGTAATCCGACGCCACCAGGGCAATCTACATCCAACCCGGCTTCTGTACGAAGCACGCCGTCTCCTGTACCTTCAAATGTAAGCTCTGTGTCAAAAAACACAAGCACAACTAAAAGGGCAAAGTCTGTTGTTACATCGGAACGCAGTGAGGAAAGTGAATCTAGTGATGGCAGGTCTGTTCTTATTATAAACATTTTAAAATAATATAATTGATTTAGAAAGAATTGCCACACTTCTAAATTTTCCAACCATTTCTAGAGATACTTTCTTTGCCTGTAAGGGGAGTCTCTAAAGATTTTATGCAGTTTGTGGATCAAATTTTTATATATGTGTAACATGCATATATTTCTTTTGCATTTTAATGTCCAAGGGTGCTGACTTATTTAAAATACTATTATAGCTTTAGTTGTTTTAAGGATCTTAAAATATAATAATGTTATTTTAATAGAATTTTATAACATTGAATTAAAAATCAATTATATTTTGTTATCAATTATAATTAGAATAATATTATTATAAGATTAAAATTTTTACTTTATCTGAAAAGTTTACTTTTATGATTTACTAATAAATTACTACAAATAAAAGTATTTTATTTCATTCTTACTTTAAATATATCAGCACTTTTTCTGTAAGTGTTTTAATTTAAATATCTTATAGGTTCTATGTGTAACTAGACTGATAGAGCATGTTTTTTTTTTTTGTTATAGTATTGCTTTAATTCTACTGAGACAGAACTTGTATGTTATAAATCATACAGAGCCCATTCATTCCATCCAAAATGCTATGGAAGAAATCACTTTTATCTTTTTTGTACTATAGGTACAGTGATGCCAAGTTAATTTTTATCACTAAAGTGAAAAAGAGGGCTTTCAATAAAAAAAATATTGCAACTGAGCAATAGACCATGCTCTTATTGAATACGAACATAATGCTGCTTTGTTCATGGTGCGTGATGGGAGCCAGAGACCCTTTCTGGCTTTCTGGCGTGGCATTTCTTCTTTGTTCTCTGTTCAGAAGAAACCTGCTTTTAACTTTTGATTGAGGATAGATGTTGATGTTGAGAGGTCTAGTTTGAGTTGAGTAAGCTAGTTAATCACCACTTACTTTTATAAAAAAAATGTCATAAATATTTTATTTTAATTATGCCTGGATTTAGGTTAGACAAGTGTATAAACTAAGGTTAATTTTTTTTTATAATTTAAATGAATTTAATTTTTTTGGACTTTTTATCATATTAGGATAGCATCAGAATGAATAGCCCGCTAGAATTAGAAAACCAAGTAATATATATATTTGGCCGGATATATATATATATATATGTGTGTGTGTGTGTGTGTGTGTGTGTGTATGTATATATCCAGCCAAATATCCAATTTTATCTATGACTGATTCCTGTATTCCAGAACTGAAGGTGAAAACTCAATGGATACTGAGGGGGAAGGAGAACCATTGAACCCAAATGAAATAGAATTAGTGTTTAAACCACATCCTACAGAAATGACTGGAGATAACCAGCTAATGAGAGCTCTAAGAGATAGTTCTGTCAGATACCTGAAGACCACAGCTAATGCATCTGGTAAGATTCTTCCTATTTGTGTGATTCTGATCCTCCTTTTGTTTAAACCATAATAGAGACAATATGCTGTTGAAATATTATTGTAGGAATAATCAATTCTATCATTTTGTCTCATCAATATCCTATCTGTTCATGGTTTTGACGTAGTATTTTGTACACATTTTATGCTAGTAGTGAAAAGTAGTTTTAAAGTTAAATTCTTTATTAACAATAACACAGATATAAAAAAATATGTGATGATTTAGGTGAATTAATAATAACAAAATTGAAAATTCCCCGATATATTAATTTCTTTAATTACTGAGTATTATTGTAATAAAAACATGTTTAGCTGTTCTGTCGTTCATTCTTTATCAGCTTGTAAAATCCACTGCTGGACATGGGCCTCTACTGTTGTAAGGAGGATTTGTACATTTCCCAGCATCGCAATGGTAATAACAAACTCTGCACCTTTGATGCTGCTCTCTCGCTTGCCATACTCGACATCAAGATGATTATGCCACCATCTTTGGTCTATTACAACAACCACTGGATTAAATTGGGTAAAGCATTCGCTTTCACCTTCTCCATACTGCATCTTAAAAATCCTATTTTAAAAAGTTCTGTTAAGATATTATATTTAAAATAAACGATATTAATTTTATATATATTGTTTTAATATTTATTTCATTTCAGTGGATCATCTCAGCAAGTACTTAGCAATGCGCCTCACTTTAGACTTAGATGCAGAGTTGCCAGAAGCATATCGTCTTCTCAATTTCTGCATTTATGTTGCCCCATCTCCTGGCCAGTTTGTGCCACTGGCCGGATCACAGACACTGAGGCAGATTAATGATAAGTTTTGGAAGGTAATAAACTAAAACCACTATTTTTAATTACAATTTTTCTATATTCACCAACTTCTGATTTTTATACCTTTCAGGCCCATATTATTAAATTTTCGTCAGCTCAGGGGTGGGGTGGGAGGAATTTGCCATTGTTGAAAGTCTTCATATGAGGGTATTATCAGGAAGATGCTGCTTCCCATCTGTTACATTATCTTCTGTCGCCTCTTACCACACCCACGGAATGATATACGGGGTAATTGATTCTCTTATGGAGGCACCGCTATTAACGTGGTAGAGCCATGCTGCAGCAATATTAGTAGTATAGTTGTAGCACGAATGGGTCAGCTCGACCGGGGAAGGACCACGCTCTCACAGAACACCAGCATAAAATAGCAGCTTAACGCTGCTGTGTTTTATATGGTGAGTGTAGAGAACCGAAGACCCTTTTTACTGAAAAAGAGGCATTCCATCTTAGTCCTCATGGGTGACAACGCATCTGCATTTTGATTCGCAAACGAGAATAAATGTGAATGTCTATGGGCCACACCAACCAGTTACCATCAGGTGGACTGTGTGCCCCTTTGTCACCCTATCCTATAAAAAAAACACACAGTGGCAGGCTTCAATAATTTCTCTTTTATCTGATTGGACATGTTACAAGATTTTCGAGAGGTGATGGCATTCAATTGTATAATATATAAAAATATTACAATGCCATATAAACATAAAATAGCAGTCATTATGCATCATAACTGCTCTCAGAACATTAGCATACAGTATTATACTCTTTTATTCTATAAATAACTTCTTTATATATTCTGCCACACCTTATTCTTCCAGGTTAACAAGCCACTGGAGATGTACTATTCTTGGAAGAAGACTTAGGGTTAAATTTCATTTTAGTTATGCATAGAAAACATAACTAAAATGACAATGAAGTGATACTTACATGTAATGGAAAGGATTTAACATTATAAATATACTATTTTATTCAAGTGAGATATGGACTCTTATTGGAAAGTGATAAGAAAACAGAGAATTCAAAATAAATATAATTTATAGAATCTGGAATGATTTAAATATAATTTAATATGTTAGATATAATTAATGTGGGATGTATTGTATAGACATAATGAGATATGTGTAGCAACAAGCTGCACATTCGGATACTTTGTGAAAAAAGTATAAATATAAAAGGATAGTTTTTAATATGAAATTGTTTTATACACACGTCATTGGTAAAACTAAAATACAATCTTTGTGAATAACAATATAGTGTTAATATGCTTGTTTTTATTGTACATATAGTGGATTTAATCATAACACAGTCCCCTTATGTTATATTTTAAGGGGATTAATTTCAGTATTGAAATTTGTTATTAAATTGACCCACCACTAATTTCTAATTTATCAATTATCACAACAGGAATATATGTCTTTTATAATGTATTAATAATTGTAAAACCATACTTGTTAATTGTTAAAGTAAACAAGTACATAATATTATGCTTTTATATTCTATAATAAGGCAAGCAATTCCAATTTTTTTTTGTGTCTAAAAATGGTTTTTATTCATTTTTCGTTTATACCTGTTTCAAACCGTCTTATATACTTATTATTTAATAAACAATGCATTCACTACATACTTACATGATTTTGAAATATTACAGATTAAGTAAAAATAGATTTCACCATAATTTTTTATTTAATGTACAATAATTTTGTGCAATTTTATTTTTATGCTAATGACATTTTATAATTTAGTCACAGATATTGAGATATTTTGTCCAATTCATGTGAAACTGTTTATATACATAATTAAAGATTGTATTATAAAAAAACCTTATTTTTATTACACTATAAAACCACCATTGCTAAAAAAAGAGATCACACAATTTATGATTCTTAAAATAGTTCCCATGAAAATAAAAATTATTTGTAACATTCATTAATCTTAAAATATAAACAAATAATATTTAGCATCATGAAGCTTGATCATACATAGCTTTCTGAATGTTGCCTTTGATCATATTTTATTGCACAGTAGCTGCTACCCGGCATGTTGCTGCCGCAGAAGAAATAATGGTGGTAATATAATTTTAAATTTTTAAGTTGGTATTGTTTAATTAATGAATGATAATAAATAATAATACATAACTTTCAAATAAATTTGTCGGTAGATACGTGTGCCACCTACTGTAAGTTAATTGTACTATGGCTATAACCTTCGTGCAAGTGCAAGTAATAATTTAATTTTTTTTTAGTGCAATCTGATGAAAGGTATAGCAAAGCATAAAATACGAACAAACCAATATTAAATTTTATATAATAGATTATTGGCATAAAGAATAGAATCATAAAATGCGGCCGAATTTGTACCATCTCTACCGCATATTATTCACAGCTCTGTTTGACCATGTATAATGAGAAATATGGTTGAAGAACTTAAATCTGTATTAATGATATGAATTTGCAGTTGCAGTTCACTTTCAGTTTATTTTGTTAAATTTTTATAATTCATATTGTTTGTTTATGTTCTTTCTTTTTATTGTTTGAACCTATCATAGGTATTAGCTAAAATCACTTCTCTAAGAAGCCATTTGCAAAGCCTAATTTAACAACATCAAAACCATTACAAATATTTATCGAATTGCATAATTATTTACAAAATGTAATTTTACAGGTATGATTAGAAATAAATAAAATTATTATTATGCTGTCTTTACCAAGTACTTTCTGCCATTTACAATTCCATTTAATGCCATGGATCATACCTACATCAAAGGTTACTTTAATGTTACCATTTTGGATAACTTATTTTGAAGACACACGTTTATGTGACAAATTTCAATTACTATTTAAGAGGATATGTTTTAAAACAAACCATTTGCCCTATCCTAACCTACCTTATCACAACATAGTTCTTTAATATATTTTGCACAGTTAGTAGCTTCTGGTAGTATTTGGAGGTTATTAGTAATTGCCATGATCTGAACCACCGTCAATCTGTATGGGGTAAAACTGATGTTGATGATATAACACAATTATGAATAACAAAAAAAAATTGGGACAGTCATTTTAAGTAAAAATAAGTTAGTACATGTGAGTAATCGCCATGATCTAGAGGGAAAGAGAAACACTAAAGTTAAGTAATATAACAGGACCTCCCTCCAACCTGGCCATGGGGTAGGAAGATAATAAAACAGTAAGTGTGAATAAAATAAAAAATTTATTTTACACATGGACATTGTAAGCAAAAATAAGTTATTGCGTGTAAGTATATTTCTATACCTCATAAATAAATATATGATCACATTATCAGGACGAAATTCACTTTTAATAAACCTATTGTAATATATTAATCTGTGGTATAATAAGAATAACAAAAATAACACTTCAAACTAATAAGTCTGTGTAAAAACTAAGTACTGTACATTGTAACCATGTGTTGGCAGAACAGTTAAAACAGTTCATTAAAGCAAGGCACTGTGACTCTAGTAAAACCATCTATTTAGATGGGATAAAGTGTCTTCTAAAAGCATTATATTCTCTTCGCAGTGCTTTAATAGCTTCAACTTTCACCAATTTCAGTACATCTATCATGTCTTCCTTGTTTTCAGAATCACGAGCAATAGCTAGTCGTTCCATTGTAGCAAAATCCAACTCTTCTATCCGCTCTGCTTCATCCATTAAACGATCATAATCTCTGAGGTAACTACGGTAGGACACACTTTCAGCATCTTCTGAATAACTGAGTAATCGTTCAATATGTTCTAAAAAATCTAAAGTTCTTCGGCCGTCTTTCATCTTTGTAGTAAACATAAAATTTCTAAAAAGTCGCCTCCCTTTTTCATCATTCAAGACATTTTCAATTTTATCGGTAAAACGATCTAAATCACCTTTTGTTACTCCTTCTTGATCATCACAGCCGCAGGCAACAAAACATTTATCCATTTTATTATCATTTATCTTTTAGTACAAACTTTAGCCGTTTCCATCATTTTTATCGATTAAATTCCGAACTGTAAAACGAAGTAACTGTCATCAGGATTGTTTTGAAGATTGAAGAATACTAAAAACATATTCTTCTCATGGCACGCACTAATATCATTTCATATAACAAAGTTCAACATTCTGTTTACGTTTTTACTAAATCTACTTGAATTCACCTTTATCGAGGTAATGCTCTATGTAATGAGGTTACAAATTACAATTAAATCCTATTATAGACTATTAGATTTAAATCTATGCTGTAAGAATATAAATAGAATATGACAAAGTCAGACTATGTCCAAAGAGTATGGTATGGTGGATAATAGTGACTATAAAATAGATTCATCAAGCTACCTAGTATAGATGTAATCTGTGAAATATAAATATGTTAACAGCTGTGTTTTTATGATACACAAACATTATATTATATAACTGTCCTTTATTAATACTACTTTACTATAAATAATAGAATCAGGCGTTACTTTGCGGAAATCCATTCTATTAGCAATGTTAACAATTAACTAACTAAAATCCGCGTAATACAACAAAATGATGTGTCTTATCTAGTTTGAAGAGCACCTCCCGCTCTCCTTCAATTGCGTGCACTATTCCCGTCACCACCAATCCTAGCACTACTACACTAGGAAAGACGCACCATCGTCGATAATACGACACGTGTTTCGGCTCTAAGGTAAAGTAGACAGTCTACATATAGCATGTCTTTTTCCATAAGACGTCTTGATATTTTAATGATTTTGCGCGTGACTGTGACTATGGGTGAGGCGTATTTATCGCAACAGGAAAAAAATAGGTTTTAAATAATAACTGATTGCGATGATCCACGATTTTTTATTCCACCAGGGTGGTGTCACTTAGAAATGAGGTAAAATATTTGACAGGTAACCAGACTGGAAACCAGTGTAAAGATAAATTCTAATTATGGGAGTAGTTTTTGCTGTTTTGTGTAGACAAAAGAGTAAAATCTTAACTAATACTTATATTATCTAATACAATTACAAAAATAATTACAAATAATATATCCGAAAAATTATTTTTTGTAGTATTTTACATTAATTAACAATTATCAAAGGTTATAAGAAAAGAAGAACATTTAATCAAGTAACAAAGACGCATATTTTTGTAGTATTACTTAGTTAGTACGTATAAATATTAAAGCAATTAGTAGTATAATTAGTAAAGGAGTTCCACGACAACAGTAATAGGAACAGCACAGATTTTACTGAAAAAGAAGAATTTATGATAAATAGTTTCCGCCAAAACTCTGTTATTTTGGAACAGACTATTGAAACTGCTACTATAAAGTAACAAAAACAGGTGGAGCTGGTAAATAATTTCACCTAGTATTACCATTACTATTCTCCAGTTGTATCTATGAATACTAGGTACTACTCAAAACTCAAGCGGAAATCTTTAAAGTCAAGGTCAAGCATTACATCATTACAGACTACAGAGAAAAAAAAATTGACCTCGAAGTTAACGCATGGGAATGCATTCATGGGAAATGTAATTACTTATTTTAAAATAAAACTAATTTTACGGATTCTATCGCGTATATTAACCTATTTTTATATTCCCGACGTTTCGGGTGCTTTCCAGCACCCGTGGTCACGGGGGACTGAGTTGTTTGACGTCCTGCTGTCATAGTTAGCCCGGCTACCTTCAGTTTTTTAATATTAATTTTTGGTTCGATTTACGCAGAATGAGCTTACAGTATCTTGAAGTCTAGCAGTGGTATACTTGGGTTTGGATTTGATTTTATTAATTATGGGATCCCATGCAGATGGCAGCACCCATCCATCTTCTCTATTGAAATTAGGATGTTTTTTAATTTCAATAGCCTCGCGAATCATCCTTGGGAGGAATCGGTGTTCTTTTGCGAGGATTTGTGGTCTATCAAATCTAATGTAATGACGGGGCCGATCCTGAACATGTTCACAAACTGCAGACTTCCCGATACGTCGGTGCTTCACGTCAGCTATATGTTCTTTAACGCGGGTTTTAATAGATCTTTTTGTTTGTCCTATGTACGAGAGACCACATTCACAATCCAGCTTGTACACTCCTGCATCTTGTAGAGGGATATGACACTTGACGGATGGTAAAAATTGACCAATCTTCTTCAGCGGCTTGAAGTACGTTTTAATGGAATTGTGAATGTGGTCTCTCGTACATAGGACAAACAAAAAGATCTATTAAAACCCGCGTTAAAGAACATATAGCTGACGTGAAGCACCGACGTATCGGGAAGTCTGCAGTTTGTGAACATGTTCAGGATCGGCCCCGTCATTACATTAGATTTGATAGACCACAAATCCTCGCAAAAGAACACCGATTCCTCCCAAGGATGATTCGCGAGGCTATTGAAATTAAAAAACATCCTAATTTCAATAGAGAAGATGGATGGGTGCTGCCATCTGCATGGGATCCCATAATTAATAAAATCAAATCCAAACCCAAGTATACCACTGCTAGACTTCAAGATACTGTAAGCTCATTCTGCGTAAATCGAACCAAAAATTAATATTAAAAAACTGAAGGTAGCCGGGCTAACTATGACAGCAGGACGTCAAACAACTCAGTCCCCCGTGACCACGGGTGCTGGAAAGCACCCGAAACGTCGGGAATATAAAAATAGGTTAATATACGCGATAGAATCCGTAAAATTAGTTTTATTTTAAAATGTGTAGTGTTCGCGTAAATATAAGAAATCATTATGTAAACCAGTACGGACTGGTAATTGCAAATAAAATTCGCCGATTAGAAGATCTCATGACCAAACGCGCAAGATATGTAACATCATTGAATTTTCTGAAAAGGTGCCGCGACCATCAGCTCATTCCTACGTGCGTCAAAATATCTACTAAAAAGGACATTCGAGGAAGCGCTAAGATCTTAAATCAGGCAAGTAAAAAGTTGTTACGAACGGTGATTCAGCAAAAACGGTTCGATTTACAAATCATAAATAATACCATAGACAATTTGTCCAGTGAGTTAAAGACAGTTTTAACGACATTTGATTTTAATAATTGCATTGAAACTTTAAACAAACGCGAAATATCGAAATATAATGAATGCAAAGACAAACAAATAGAAAAATACCAAAAATTAACTATCAAATCAAATGCCAAACATCCATGTCAACGTAGAAACGAAACGCAACAACCGTTGACCACAGACGCAAACATTAAACAACGCACGGTCTATAATTTGTCAAAAGAAATACTGGATGAATCTACAATAAAAGTATTGTCGAAAGGCTTAAATTTTGCTATAACGCCGCAAAAAATCCCGTACGAGGAAATTATCTGTAGTGTTGAGGATTGTCTGTTTAAGAATAATATCGGTAAAGAGGATTTAGAGGCTATACGTCAAGACATTTCGTCCTTGTTACGTCGAAGTTCAGCGCCGAAACTAAATCTTCCGAAAGACGAATTTAAAGCGTTGTACAACTTACGCAACAGACCCGAGCTCACGATTCTCCGCGCGGATAAAGGAAATGCTACGGTAATAATGGACACGTCAGAGTATAATTTCAAAATACAACAACTTTTATCGGACGTAAGTACATACAAAAAGGTCAAAATAGACCCTACAACTAATACACTCAAAACAACCACTGATTTAATAAAGAAATACTCCGAAAAATTAGACCTTGACGTGAATTCGACAATACCATCATGTGCCAAACCACCGAGGTTGTATGGGTTACCGAAAATACACAAACCAAACGCTCCACTACGTCCTATAGTAAGCCAGATCGATTCACCGACTTATAAGTTGGCTCAACACTTGGCAAAAATACTGTCACCACTAAGAGGACATACCAGAGCACACACAAAGGATTCATACCAATTTGTTAGTGAGATTAAAGACCTACATCTCGCTGACAATGAAACTATGGTCAGTTTTGATGTTCAGTCACTATTCACATGCCTACCTATTGAAGACTGCATCTCAATTGTTACTAGAAAGCTAGAAGATAACAACATGCCTACAGAATATGCAGTATTACTCAAACACTGCCTCACATCTGGCTATTTATTGTGGAAAGAAGAGTTCTACATGCAAGTAGACGGAGTGGCAATGGGCTCACCTGTATCTCCCGTAGTCGCCGACATATTCATGGAGGACTTTGAGGAGAAAGCCCTTCTTACTGCTCCTGTAAATCCAAGATTCTACAAGCGGTACGTAGACGATACTTTCACAATTTTACCATCTGACAAAGTAACTGCATTTTTAAACCACCTTAATTCCATAAACCCTAAAATACAATTCACAATGGAGTTAGAGGCAAACAATACTTTAGCTTTTCTAGATGTTTTAGTCATCCGAAATCCTGATAACACTATTGGTCATACTGTGTACAGAAAAAATACCCATACCAACCGATATTTAAATGGTGAATCTCACCATCATCCTTCACAGTTAGCTACCGTGGGAAAATCTTTGTTTCAGAGAGCACGAGGGATCTGTGACAGAAAACATCTGGCCGCCGAGCTTCAGCACGTCGAGCAAGTACTGCAAGACAACAAGCTTCGGGTCCCGCGCCTACGTCACAGTGACCGAGTGAAGCCAGCCACAGTCGAGCGTGTGCCTGCTGTACTACCCTATGTCAGAGGAGTCACAGACAAGGTTGGCTACATCTTGAAGCGAGCTTCCATTAAAACGTACTTCAAGCCGCTGAAGAAGATTGGTCAATTTTTACCATCCGTCAAGTGTCATATCCCTCTACAAGATGCAGGAGTGTACAAGCTGGATTGTGAATGTGGTCTCTCGTACATAGGACAAACAAAAAGATCTATTAAAACCCGCGTTAAAGAACATATAGCTGACGTGAAGCACCGACGTATCGGGAAGTCTGCAGTTTGTGAACATGTTCAGGATCGGCCCCGTCATTACATTAGATTTGATAGACCACAAATCCTCGCAAAAGAACACCG